AGGAAATCTTTCACATTTCTGTTGCTATCTCCATGCGGCAGGAAAAAATGTCTTTTTAATAAATGGTGATTGATCGATCGGATATAAATATGAAAAAGGAATCAACCCCATATTACAGTGCATGCATAAAATATTTCATGGAATTCTATACCAAAAGAGAGGATTACACAATAAATCTTCCAAAGATGACTTAGAAGACTATCTTCATGACTTTGGTATGGAGCAAAGATCTCCTAAACAGAACACAAAAGACACTAATCGTAAAGAATAGCTCTTCCTCAAGATATTCTGTAGAGAAAAAAGGAAAGATGTCAACTAGAATAAGATACTTACAATATGTATGTCCAACAAAGCCCTTGTATGTATATATGTATGTATGTATGTATCTATCTATCCAAAAATCTGTAAGGAAAAACTAGACAACACATGTTAAAAAATGGTCAAAAGACTTACTAGGTCCTTCCCAAAGAAGATATCCAAAATAGCTAGCAAGCATGTGCTGTCACTCTACAGCCACAAAATGAAAAGAGGAAAAGAAAAAGAAACAGAATGCCAAGAGTTAACAAAAATGTGGGGCAAGTGGATTCTCATGTCGCAGCTGTACCCTGTCTGTCGCTCTTCAAGCCTCACCAATTCAGTGCATGCTGGCCCAACCCCAGTCGTTGGCCACTGTGTCTCACTCTGTAAGGGCTTTCTCTGGTCCCAAGAACAGCTTTGTCTACCAGCCACAGACCAGAGATGTCAGAGAATAAACCTCTTAGGAGTAATCTTAACCACAGGTGGACTAGAGTGGTCTATAGATATCCCATTTCCCTTGCTCTCTGATACATGCTCTATACCATTTCCTGACATCTGTAGTGGGATTGAGTTTTAATTGCCCACAGTAGTACTTGCTTTATAATTCACCCTTTATTGACTTCCATCCCTTCCTCTTTCACTTACCCACATCCTACCAAGATTTTGGTGGGCCATCTCCCAAATAAAACCCCTCAAATTCTCACTTCATGTATACATCTAAAGAAACCCAAACCAAGATATATATTATACTCCAATAAAACTTATTTCAAAGGAAAGGGGCATGGGAGATAGTTCTTAATTTTGGGTGGGGAGGGGTGGGTAACAATGGTTAATATTGCTTAGGATAGGTTGCTGGAGTTGTGTGGTCTAGCAGGATGCACCTGACCACTATTTTACGTGTAAAAATTGCATTTGTCACCCCCATGAATATAGATTTGGTCATGTGGTCAGAAATGGTGTATTTTTACATGGTTTAGCTCACTTAATTGTTATCCTGCTTATGTTGATAAGGAAGTTGAAAATCATACATGTGAAATAATTTATTCAAGATCATATTACAGTTTCAGGATGAATTAGGATGTGTTAGGCTTGCTAGGAAATCATTATGATGACTGGATTGTGAAGGGTCTAGGATAAGAATTGAGAGAAGGCACTTATCTGCTACTTAGTGGGAAACCAGGTGAAGTTATAAAACAAAGGATTGCAATGACCAGATTTTGTGGAAAATCCCTCTAACTTCAGGATGGAAGATGGGTTAGTGAGGGATGGGACAGGAGGCAAGATGACCCTTGAGATAGCTCTGAGAGTCATCCAGGGGGAAGACAGGAAAGGTAGCCAGTAGGGTCCAGGCTGTGGACACGGCAGAGAGGATAGATTTCCGAGATATGGGCTGGGGTAGGGGATGTTGACAAGTCTTAGTGACTAATTAGATGTAAGGGTAGAAGAAGAGAGAATAGGGACCCCCCCCCTTTTTGTGGTGGCAATGACTCACATCTAAGAATAATTGAAAGCTGGGTGATGGGGTTGGGGGCAATGGGTATAGGTGGTCAAAAGGTACAATTTCCATTTATAAGAGGAGTAAGTTCTGGGAATGTATAGCATAGCGTGGTAATCATAGTTAATAATATGTAGTATATTTGAAATTTGCTGAGAGAGTAGATCTTAAAAGTTTCATCACACAAAAAATTATAACTATGTGAGGTGGTGGATGTATTAACCAAACTGATAGTTGTAGTCACTTTGCAACATATATATGTGTGAAATTATTACATTGTACACCTTAAACGTACACAATGTTACATATGTTAATTATATCTCAGTAAAGCTGGGAAATGACCCAAAAATCTTCCTGGAAAAAAAAAAAAAAGTACATCTGAGAGCCGAGAGCTGCCAATGGATTCTAACAACCTTCACCCACTCAAGCAAAGCAGCTGTGGCCACTTTCCCTCTCTAAGAAATTGCCCTGTAGCTGGGAGGAGGGGTTGGTTGCTATCAGTGGTGCTGAATCCTAAAGGCATCGGGGAACTTTCCCAGGGAATACTGATCTGATTTCTTAAGAGCATCACAGAGGAAAGAGTAGATTCTTTAAAGCCAGATGCACCTGAATCTGAATGTTGACTCTAGCGCAAACATGCTTGTATGGGTCTTCCTCTGTGAATTATACATAAAGTACCTACGGTTGTGAGGCTTGAGGCAATATGTGTAAAGCCCTAGCTCAGTGCCTCCTTTAACAGTTGGAGATGATGATGATTACCGTAGGAGCTTAGGAGATGGCCCACTGCGGTCCTTTAGGCAATTAGGAGAGTCTTAGGGATCCTGTTTATTCATGAATATGCTAATAAAAAGAGGGAGCTCCAAAGCTGACTCAAAAGATGCTGAACTCTCGGAAGTCCCCAGGGCCAAGTAGTGCATCTAAATAGACAAGGTAACACCCCAGAGAGATGTCTCTGTGCTTTCTGTCTTTATGCCTTGGGAATAGCCCACGGAATAAACAAGAAGCACTTTCAAGAAACAGGTGCATTTGAATAAGCCTGAGTCATCAACCAGAATGAGATATTTCAGAAACTTTCCATTTTGAGCCTTTGGCATGTTCCTGATTATGTATAAATACCTCGCTTCTTATATAAATACATACTGAATGTAACCTTTTGCTAAGTAATGCAAGGCCAACTGTGACAGAATCGTCTGAGAAAGGAGCCACAGCAGACCTGAATCCAGTGGGTCTCTTTCACAAGTCCCTTAGGGTGCTGGGAAGGTTTAAAATGCTAAAGCTGTAAGAGTTACCTCTTGAAATCACCACAGTCACCTTTTTCTTCTCTAGGAGCTCTGTGTGCATGTGTGTTAGTTGGTTTTATCCATCTGTAAGCTTTTGTAAGTTCCCTAATGAAAACAACTGTATTTTCTTGGCTTAATTGTACATTATTGAGTGTTCTGTCTCTCATTCTATAAACGTGCAATAATGAGAAATGGTGTGTTCATCAGGGACAACCAGCATGCTAGGCAAATGGTGAATCAGATATCTTATTGATGTGCCCAGAAAGAAACTTGTTAAGGGTCAGAATATAACCATAAAAACAAAACAAAACAAAACAACTTTCTTGGTGTATCTCACATAGATTGCAGCATATTGAATAATAAAAAGGGTTTGGCAAGATTAATCATTTATGATGCAGTTCGTAAGGAAAACAGGGGGATACAACTGGTGTTTTATACTTTTTCTAGACACAGAGCCACAATCTCAGAGGCTGTGGGGGGTGGTGGTATGCAGAGTCTGCCTTTGAACGTAATTTTAGGTACCCAACCCTGAAAAGTGAATACCAGAAAGCTTATTAAGTGGGAGAACAAATATGAAAACCAGTGGTCCCCCATATTGATTCTCTGTAGATTCTTCCCTTTAGCTTTCTGTAGTCAGGAGATGCTTCGTTTTGGGGCGCCTGGGTGGTTCATTTCATTAAGCGACTGCCTTCGGCTCAGGTCATGATCCTGGAATCCTAGGATGGAGTCCCGTGTTGGGCTCCCTGTTCAGTGGGGAGTCTGCTTCTCCCTCTGACCCTATCCCCTCTCATGCACTCTCTCTCTCTCTCTCAAATAAATAAATAAAATCTTAAAAAAAAAAGGAGGTACTAAGTTTTACCAGTCACAGGAGAGCCAAAGCTTATGATTAAAGTGTGGGTATGACATTTTCTGTATAGTTTAGAAAGTCCTGCCCTAAAAACAAAAAAAAGCTGGAAAGAAATTTGTGTGGTATCCTGAAAAGTTATCAAAAGACAACTCGACAAAGATATTTTAAAATAAAAATTTAATTGCTCTTTATCAACTCAATAAAATATGATTTATATATTTGATTTTGAACTATTTTTTTCTACCATTAAATGTTAACTTTATAAGTTTTTAAACTTAAATTCTCCAAATAAGTTCTCCTTAGTTATCCTTGGGCAGGGTTTTGGCCAAATTACAAATGGGTCAGTTTGTAGAAAGGTCACAACAATTACTCCTACATGAGTGCGGATTTATGTAAATCTAGTTATCTTAACACACACAGCTCCCAAGCAAATGAGACAGTTATAAATAAATGGATGTCTTAAGCGTGTGCATGTGTGTGTGTGTGTGTATGACTTGAGGTTCTTAAAAACTATACATGTGTACTTTTGCTTATTGGGTACATGGTCTCTCCATTTGGTAGTTATCTGGCTAAGACTAGTCCCTTCACACAGAACAGTGCCTGTTCTGACTAAAAGCCATCTTCCTTCCTTCCTTCCTAAAGATTTTATTTATTTATTTGAGAATAAGAGAGAGAGAGAGAGAAAGCACAAGCAGAAGGGAGAAGTGGAAGAAGAGGGAGAAGCAGACTCCCCGCCGAGGAGGGAGCCTGATGCGGAACTTGATCCCAGGACCCCGAGATCATGACCTGAGCCCAAGGCAGACCTTAACCAACTGAGCCACCCAGGCACCTTCAAAGCCATTTTTCAATCATAAGTGATTGTGATGGGTGTGCGCACAGCAAGCAAAACCAAGAGCAATGCCCCTTCCAGCACACCCTGTCTTTCCCTTAATCTCTGTTGGTGGTCTGCAAATATCTGAGTCAAGTGTGTGTACTTGTGTCTAGGTAAGAGCTGAAATCAAAACAGTGTGCTAACAAACTTTTGAGTTAGAAAACCTTAAGCCCAGCAGTTCGAGAATGGCTGCAGTGAGCCAAGTCTTACCTTTCTGTATCCCCAGAGCTGGTTCCCCTTCATGCCATGACAGTCATAGAGAGTGACCGCACTGTTGTGCGAGATTGCATCGAAGCAGAATTTCCGGGTGTGCAATGGCTCACCAGGTCGAATGTCTTCTCTCCATCCAAAAGTAAAGAGCTAGCGAAAACAACAATAGCAGAAAAGCTACAGTGAGCTTAATTTGGAGAGTCTGGAGAGCAGGTGGGGTAGAGGTCTTTTTAGCAATGTGGAATTCGTGCTTCGTGATTTACCAGAAAAGAACTCCATCTAGGCATAATGGAGGTGTTGAAAAAGGGCACCTATCACAGAGCCTTGTAGAAGCAACAGTGTCACCTTTGGTCTGGGGTGCCAAAAAATACAAGAGTTTCCAATTTGGTACCAGGAGAAATAACAGAAGGATGGCATGGAAAGAAAGGGGTGGAGGAGAGTGACAAGGGGGAAGACGAGGGGAAGGGGAAGGAGGAAAACAAGCTCTTTAGTGAAGCTCTTTACAAATTCTTCATTTGGATAAAATGTTATTGGATCAAATGCTATGCAGTTAGCTCAAATAAGGAGATTAACTGTAAGAAGACCAGAGCCGAACTGAGCTGGATGGAGGCTAGCAGTCTGAAAAATTTGATTTAAATGGAAGCCAAGCTTAATGAAGTCAAGAAGAGGCAAATTAATTTTCTGGGGTTGGTATGAGTAATTCAGCAGGACAATGTAAAAAGTTTTGGACTGTAAACACACAGGAAGAGACACAGTCTACACACATACACAAATTCCTCCTCCCCAGAGGGAAACAGAAGCTTCAGGAAGGGATGTTTAAACTTACTGCATCTAATGGACTCTGTTATTCCATCCAATCTTTTCCTCTTTTGGTCCATTCTACCCTACCATTTGATTATTTGAAAAATGCTACTTTGGAGACACTGAGTGGATTTTAGAATATATTGAATTAAGGGGGGGTGGTGGAAACCTCTTCTATAAGGAAAGGGTATTTTCTTGAGTTTGAGCTGGCCCACCATCTGAGGAGTTTGGTAGGAGAAATCCTCAAGGAAATGGGAAACAGAGTAGATGAGCCCTCTGCTTTCTTCCAGTTCTAAAATTTCAATGAGATTATGTAATTCTTACAATAGGATGGACTTAAGGTGGCCTTTGTGAAGCCAAGCTGTGAGCTGCCAGATAAAGAGCCGTCCTATTGACAGAAGAGCCAACGAGATGCTGAGCTGTGCGTAGACGATGCACTTGGCCCCCACCAGGTCCTCTGAATATTTCAGTTTTTCCCTCCTACCTGGGTAAGAAAATGTAAAGACTCCAGCAAAATACGAGGAATGGCTACCAAATACAGTGACATGGGGAGAGCAGACTGCAGAAAACTTGAAAACACTGGGCTAAGGGGTGGGAAGAGAATCGCAAAGACATGCTGTAAATCAGACATAGGAAAGTGGATTGCCTGCGTAATGGTGAGTGCCTGTACTCTATTTCTCTGGAAGACAGGACAAAAGAGAATGCTTTAATGAGAAGGACAAGGGTTTTATTTATTTATTTATTTATTTATTTATTTATTTATTAAAAAGATTTTATTTATTTATTTGACAGACAGAGATCACAAGTAGGCAGAGAGGCAGGCAGAGACAGAGGAAGGGAAGCAGACTGCCTGCTGAGCAGAGATCCTGATGTGGGGCTCAATTCCAGGACCCTGAGATCATGACCTGAGCCGAAGGCAGAGGCTTTAACCCACTGAGCCACCCAGGTGCCCCTGGGACAAGGGTTTTAGGTGAGGCATGTGAAATAGATTCATGAAGAGATACTGTGTAGTCCTTTTTCCTACGGTTCCTCCTCCCCCCATTTCATGGTGGACTGAGCCCTTTTTTAGATTCATTGAAATTTAAATCCCATGCAGGACAATAGCTTATCAAGGAAAAATGTCGATCAGCAAGGTGTTTCTGATTTCAACACTCTCTTCAAATCAGAACTGACTTGTCCCTTGGTTTCTGAAATACTGGGTTCCTTTTATCCTGTTCCTCTGTTTTGCTCATGTCCCTCTTACATCTGTCTTTGACTCAGGTGCCGCTCAGGATCCTCCCTTGGACCTTGTCCTCTATGCCTTCTGGTTGCTTTTGTGTATGCTCAGTCCAGCTCTCACGAGTACGTTGATAACTTATCATCTGTGATGTGTCCGACTCCGTATAGAATTGTCCGCCTGTGTGCCCCATGGACATCTCAAGTTCAAAATACCCTAAATTCAATTAGTTTTCTTTCCTTCTAAGCCTGTTCCTACTCCTTTATTTTGCTTTAGTTGGTGGTCATAGTACTCACTTGCCAACCTGGGAGTCTTTCCTCTTTTAACCCCTTTGTTTCCCTCACCCTCATTATTTGATCACTTAGCAAGTCTTAACGTTTTTGTCTCCAAATATTGCTGGGAGTCGTCTCTTCTGCTCTATTTCCACTACCTTTGCTCTCAATATTTCTCTTTTTTTATTATTTTAAAGATTTTATTTATTCATTTGACAGAGATCACAAGTACACAGAGAGGCAGGCAGAGAGGAAGGGAAGCAGGCTCCCTGCTGAGCAGAGAGCCCGATGCGGGGCTTGATCCCAGAGCCCTGGGATCATGACCTGAGCCGAAGGCAGAGGCTTTAACCCACTGAGCCACCCAGGCGGCCCTGTTCACAATATTTCTTGTCTGGACTACTGAAATGACTCCCTGATTGGTGTCTTTCCTACCTTCCTTCACAACCTTTTGACTATGTTACCTCTTGGCCTGAAATCTCAGCGTGTTTTCATATAATGCTCAAAGAACACAATAAAAACTCTTTAATGGTGTGGGAAACAGAGGTGGAAGAGAAATTATTAAGTGTCCTTACTACCTACAGCTTACCACTGACAAGTCCTTGAAACAGGCAGAGTGACATTCCTCTAGGGACTCAGCTGCCTCCATGCTGACTGCTTGCTAAGGGCAAAAGGAAACCTAGCCCGACCCCCACACCCTCAACCCCCAACCCTGATTCTGGATCCTGTAAGTCTACTTTAACATATAAAAATTCCTTTGGAAACTTCATTTATCTCTAAACCCTCCAAGATATGTGTTGGCAATCATCCCCAAGCATATAGCTCACGGATATACCTCTGAAGGGTCTCATGACTAACGGTTTATAAGACGGTAATAAATGACCTTTCCCCAACAATAGCTAGCCCGCTCAAGGTCCTGGAAACCTTGCTTCCAAATTTCTTAAAGACTTCTGCTCTTCCTAACCCCCTCCCGACTTGAAAGTATATAATCAGCCATTCCTCATGCCCCCAGTGCAGGTCTTTCTGCCCACTGGTCCTGTCCCCGTGCTTTAATAAAACCACTTTTTGCACCAAAGATGTCTCAAGAATTCTTTCTTGGCTGTCGGCTTTGACCTGTCTTTCCTACATCATTAACTTATAAAGCATTTCCCACAATCTGGCCTTTGCCATTTTCCCCCAGCTGCATCCCTTTTCCCTTAGTTTATGTTCCAGCAACAACAAAACATTTGGAAGTTGCTAAGAGAGTGGATTTAACTATTCTCATCACCAGGAAAACAAATCCTGTGACTATGGATGGTGATGCATCTTAGCTAGATTTGCTCTAGTGATCACTTTGCAATATGTAGAAATACCGAATCATTATGTTGTATGACTGAAGCTAATATAATGTCGTATGCCAATGATATCTGAATTCAAAAACATTTGTGGTTCCTTGCACTAATCAGGCTATATTTTCCCTTCTGTGACTTTGTTCATGAGACTTTCTGTGGTTGGGAGGCCAACATTCAGCCCACCTAGTTCATGCTTACCAGTTCTTTGAGATTCAGTCCAGGGGCCAGGTGCAGAGGAAGGGGAAGAGGGGGAGAGAGAGAGGGAGAGAATCTCATATAGGGCTCTGTCTTATAACACTGAGATCCTGACCTGAGCTGAAATCGAGTACCACGCTCAACCGGCTGAGCCACCCAGGCCCCCTGGCTTAAGTATCCATCCTGCCTTCCTCCCTTCCTTCTTTCTTTCTTTTTAAAATATTTATATATTTATTGGAGGGAGAGAATGAGTGAGCGGTGGTGGGGGGGAACAGAGGAGAGAATCTTCAAGCAGTCTGCCCTGCTGAGCGGGGACCCCGATGCAGGGCTCGATCCCACCACCCTTGTGACCAGTACCTGAGCAGGAACGGAGTTGAATGCCTAACTGACTGAGCCGCCCAGGCACCCCAGCTTATGTCTTCTTTTATAAACAGTCTTTTTTTTTTTTTTTTACTTTTTGTTTCCTTAATTTTTACTTTTCTAACTTTTTAATTAAAGGGATGAATGAAGTATAAAAGAATTCCTGTGTTAAAGCAAACATCAACAAATTCTTCTCTTGATGGACTTATTCACCTATTGTCCCAATTATACCCCAGGGGTCCTTAGGTGACTTTTATTTCTCGTTGCTAGGTTTGTCGTTAGAGTGCGATAATCATTTTCAGATTTGTGGGTTGGTTGTTAGCTGGAGGTCTCCATAGAGTTTCATACTTTATCATCATCATCATCACCACCATATCATCCTGATTATGTGGTGATGACTTTCCTGCACCCCAAGAGATGTTTCCAGATTATATCAACTGCTCTATTCTTCTGCAACTACCTTTAGCTAAAATTTGTCTCTCTTACGTCTCTGAAGTGCTTTCTATTGCCATTTATCTCATCCTGATGGCCATGTCAATCCAATCAGGCACCAAGCCTTTCATTCATTAGGCACCCTTTCTCCAGAGCAATTTTGTAGAACCAGACACAAGCAGATGTTATGAATGTATTTTCATTGTCTGTATTTTATGATGCTATTGTGACATTTATAGTTTGTCTCTTACTCTTGGGCTAGTTCTTACTGATGGAAGGATTAGATTTCATTCAGGTTTCCTGTACAAAAACTTGCTTTTTTTCAACCTCAAATCCTCAGTTTTAGAGTAAATTGATTTTAATCTCTCCACTTGCTGCTTTTAAGTGATACTTTTAAATATAGATCCAGAGTGATACAGAACTTGTACTTCTTCAGTTTACTGTCAGCGTGGTGTGGGTAATGTTGCCTGGCTTTATACCGTATCGTTTAAGTGAGCTCAGCTAGACTTAGTACTGCAAATACACTTAGCACCTTGATTTTGCTACTTGATTTGAGAAGACTGAGAATATTTTCCTCTCCATGGGTGGTTCTATTTTATTTCCTTGTTATGTGGTTGGCAGAAATCTGAGCAAGTGCATGTTGCAGTTGGTACCCAGCTCTGTTCTGCGAGTGAGGCTGCAGATCCCAGCACCCGTCCTTTACCACGTGCACCGACTTGCTCCCATCTCTGTGCGCACATGCCTCTCCGGGTCTTGCGAAGGGAGCATTCGGTCGGCTTCCTCAGCGGCAGGAAGGTCTGCGCGGCCACAGTACTACCGCCCCAGAATGAAACCAGAGCCCGCTGCCCGGCCCGAACTGTAGGCCACTGAAGGCTCTCCTTCCTCCCTTGCCTTCTCACTTGGAGTCCTAATGGCATTTGGAGGGTATCCTTTCCAGACCTTACAGTCTTATAAAGTTCTCTTTGCTTTTTCTTTCTTAGTCCCTAAAGGAAGCTGAAAGCCAGCACACAATGCTACAGTGATCTCAAACAGCTAAATAGAAGGCCCCGGAAAAAAAGAATCACACAAATTGCTTCCTTCACAGAAGCCAAATTAGACACCACTGGTGTTCCACAACAAGAGGCATTTTCTTGTAAAGGTGCTTCTGTAGATGATCCTTTATCTCCCATGTAACTATTTTGTTTATTCTTTTGTGTTTTATTTTTGCCATTTGTTAAAAAGGATCATTTCAACTCTAATAAGAGCCCCTTGTGGATTCTTTAAATGCTTTTGAATAAAAAAGAATACCTATAATTTTCCTTCTCTGATATACTTCTTTTTTCACTCAGGCATTTTAATCAAAACGGAGGAGAATGAGTCTTAATTCATGTAAGTCATTGAGTAATACAGTGAATAAAGCTTATAGCTAATTATTGGGGGGAAAAAGCAGCTTGTAATGTTTTAATCACCAAGTGAATATATGGTGATACGTATTTCAAAGATGATTCATTTTTTACCTCCTGTCAACTTTGTTTAATCTCCCCATAGCTCTGTTTTCAGAATCTCTAGAGACCAGGGATCTTTTTAAAGAGCTGTATTAACTGGTCTTTTTGTGCCTCATAGTTTCTGCTTGTCTGGTGCTGCCCTCTGGTGGCCATTTATTGAATTACATGATGTGGATTTTAACAGTTCAGCACGAAGGGGGAAAATATACCAACCATTTTTAAAGTGTATGCAATATAGTCGGTTTTATTTATATTTATTTTTCGGCTGTCACATAAAATCTGTGGTCCAGAGCATATTTAATTCTAGAACATTCCAGAAGACAGAACTATGAAACCTGATTCAGGCATTCAGGCAAGGCATACTTCTCATCAGCTGGCTGGCTACCCGTGTTTCCTGGTTGGGCTGCACAGGGGCGGTAGAGAGGAATTTAGCCCAGCAGACATAGATTTTCCATCTGGCATGCTTCTTTTTCTTTTTTCTTTAAAAAAGTATCCTTTCTACTCTAAATGTGGGTCCTCCTGATAGGCCTCTGAAGCCTTTTCTCTTGCTCCCAGGCTGAAGTCAGAATTGCTTCTTGGAGGTGACAGGCCAGACTCTTCCTCACATTCCTGGTAACAGCCCTGTGGTGTTTACTGAAGAAGATGGGGGAAGGAGGGGCAAGTCAGCTTTTGCTGATATTTCATTCCCATTCACAAATCCTGGAGCTGCAGAGTCTTTTTTATTTTTATTTTTATTTATTTACTTACTTTTTAGTGTGTTATGTTAGTCACCGTAAAATACATTAGTTTTTGATGCAACGTTCCAAGATTCATTTTTTATGTACAACTCCCAGGGCTCCATGCAATACGTACCCTCATTGTCATACGGTTTCACCTACTTGCGGAGCATAAGGAATAACATGGACATTAGGAGAAGGAAAGGAAAAGTGAATTGGGGGAAATCGGAGGGGGAGGTGAACCATGAGAGACTATTTTTATTTTTTTAAGATTTTATTTATTTATTTGACAGAGAGCAGGAGAGCAGCAGAGGGAGTGTGGGACTCATTCCTAGGACCCCAGGATCATGACCCCAGCCGAAGGCAGACGCTTAACCAACTGAGCCACCCAGGCGCTCCCGCAGAGCCTTCTTTAAAACCAATCTGATAAGCGTCTGCACACTGCAGGATATATTTGAGTGAATAATAAATAGTATTTGGTTTTGGCAGCTGCCTTGGACCTGAGAGAGATTTCTAATTTGGCGTTAGTATAAAGTGATCCGGGGGAGAAAATGTCATAAAGCAGAAGGGAAAGTACATTGATTTTACCCCTACCACACGTGCTACATGCTGGTGTATGTAGACACGATTTTTTCTGATGTGAATATTATTGTCCCTATTTAGAGGTGGAGAAACTCCAGCTTAGAGAGATGTAACAATTTCACAAGGTCACACAGGTTACAGTGGCTGAAATCTAGGTTGGCCTCACTGCAAGGCCCACGATCCTTCTGGAACACCATGAGGCTGTGGATCAGAGTGGAAGGGCCAGATGACCCATCGGGGCGGGGCAGTGTGGGTTCACGGACTGACGGTGTTAATTCCGGACTGTGCTGTGTGCCGGGTTCACCGCCGCTTCCTCGGACCATGCTGCTCTGCGCTGTAGTATCAGCTGCGTGCGGGGTAGGACGGGACAGTAGCGGGCGGACAGGGAGGAGCCAGCATGACGGAGCTCAGCCTATCTGAGCAGCTCGGTAAGATCCTAGGCTGGGCACGATTTGTCTTCACTAGTTCCATATACAAGATGGATACTGAGGAATAGAGCTATAGGACAGAACTCAAGCCTTCGTGGAAACTGCTTGTCTATTTGTTTTCAGGTTTCATAAGAGAGGCATTATGGGCAATTCTGGGAAACAAAGCACAGGCAGTTTATACTATGCTGAACGTGAGATGTGACCTTTTGTAGAGGGAGACAGAGGAGTAGCATAGGGAAGGGGCTTTAACTGTATCTGTAAATTTTATTCTCTTGAAAAATATGGCACTAGCTGCAGATACTTATTAAGTCAGTGTAATGAGTGTGCAAGGGTGTGCTATAATTTTTTTATAGTTTCCTATTTGATTTCTTAAAAGACTTTATTTATTTCTCAGAGAAAGCACACAAGCAAGGGGAGCGGCAGAGGCAGAGGGAGAAGCAGACTCCCTGCAGAGCAAGGAACCTGATATGAGGCTCCATCCCAGGACCCTGAGATCACGACCTGAGCTGAAGGCAGATGCTTAACTGACTGATCCACCCAGATGTCCCCCCATTTGATTTTTCATTATCAAAAATTAAGACAATAAAAAGGGATAGACACAATTCTACCCACTATCATGTCTCTTTTGCAAGTGACACGGTGTGAGGCAAGTCCCTTATAAGGACCATCAGGGGGTCAGGAGTCGCAAGTCACTTCATAAACAGAATTGCACTGAAACGCTTTTCAATCAAAGGCAACAAATAGTTCTAAAGGATTCCAGGAAGTCCAGGTTGGGCTGTTACTGCCTCGAAGTCATCCTTCATGTGTAGGATTACAGACTGCTATAGCAACAAGACGCTTATGTAAAGATTCCTTTTCAAAATATCGCCAGAGGGGAAAATAAGATTAGATAAAGTCGTAAAAAACTTAAAAATAAAAAGAGTCTTTCAATAAAACTGTGAAATTTAGTTGGAAGATCACATGGCACTCTACAGGCTTTTTGTGGTTTGAAGGCTACCATTCGGGGAAAGAAAATATAAGCCTGGGACCTTTCTACCATCCTTTCTCCTATTTAAAGCACATTTCTGTACACGATCTCAGCTGATTATCACAGTTGCTCTGAGATGAAGCAGAAACCAAGGAGGTAAGTAATTGGCTGAACAACAGAGCTGGTCGGTGGGAACAAGGACTCCCCCCCAACCCCCGCCCCAGGCCGTGGGTCCTGTATGCCTGGGTTAGAAATCTGTCTTCACTGTCTGCCTCCCTGCCTGCCTCAGCCCCGCTGGCTCCTGTCATTTCCGGTTGCTGACCTACCTGTTCGTGAGACCACGTCCTTTCAGAACCATCCTTGACGCAGATGTCCAGCCTCAGTTCAGTGCCGGTGGCCCCATGCTTGCTGTCTACACAGAGATTTGCTGCCAGGTTTCGAATCTGTGGACAGAAGAAAGAATGAGCATGGGGCTAGTTTTTCTGGCACCCCTAGCTCCCGGCAATCCTGGTATAGATTCGGTAGTTCTCTTTTTAATCTATTTGAGAAAGAGAGAGACTGCGCATAGGTGCCTGAGCAGGGGAAGGGGCAGCAGAAGGGGGAGAAGTAGGCTCCCCGCGGAGCAGGGAGCGGAATGCGGGGCTCCCTCCCAGGATCCTGAGATCATGACACCAGGCGAAGGGAGACACTTAACCGACTGAGCCCCCCCGGCGCCCCTCAGTAGCTGTCTTTTTGATTACATGATTCCTGAACGATGTTTTGAATTTATATGCAACGTGTGGAGCAAAATCAGGGAGTTAAATATAACAAGGCCTAGTGGGCATGTCAAGGAACGTGAGATGGTTGAGGAGCAAGACTGCAGCTGGTGGACCAGCAAAGGACCACGTGACAATGCCACACGGGGAGAAGCCTGGCTCAGGACTCCCGGAAATGCGATTTCTTTCTTCAGGGAGTTCTTAGCTTGGCATTTGTTATCTTCTTGCTCCAGAGCATCTTCTGCCATTTCCGTCTCAGCTGGGAGAGAGAGATCCAATAAGAAGCAGGTGATGCACGTTGTGTTTGATGGAAGAGAAGGAATCACAGAGCACCGCACGGTTCTGTGCAGGGTGTGGGGACGCGGTCCCCACACCACGTCCGGGTTTGCCTGGACCATCCCGGTCTCCACCTGTGGTCATGGTGTAGCATTTCTCCTGGGGCCCCCTAGAGCATTAACAAAATAGGAAAGATGGTACTACCGGTGCCATGTTATGCTGGAAGAGGATTCTCTATATAAAGTCTGAACTTGGACAAGTCGTCGAATGAGAAAAAAAATTACCGATAATTTGTTACAGGGATCCTATTAATACTGATATAAGGAACTGAGTAGTTAGGGGCGGGCGAAGAGTGGACTATGAAAAGTGTCAAGATCAGAAATGGCAACAGAAGGAGTTGAGGCCATGCGCACGTGTCGCTTTGTCAAGTCTGCCTGCCCGAGGATTTCCACAATTCTGAGGACCTCGAAACCCCGCCCCCGCATCATAGAGATGGATGGTGTTTATGGTTTGTTACTTAGCGGTCGATGTTTAGCTAAGCTCAGCAATCTCAATCCTTTTTATGCCTTTATATAGTCCAGGATTATAATAATCCCTTTAGGTATTGTTAAGAATGGAAACAAGAACAGGATGTACTCAGGTGATAATTTTAGTCAAGTCTCTTTTGCCGAGAATGAGCAGATAAGGTAAGGAGGCAGTCCAGGGCAGAAGGATGGCTGAAGCAGGCCTGTTGCTACTGGGATGAGGGCAAGAGGCAGAGAGAAGGTTGTCATGAAATATAGTGAGGGTCATGAAAGGAATAAATGAGGCTGAAAGGGGATTGTGGAGGGCAGAGTGATGTCTTATTTCACTTACTGTAGGAGTAGAGGTTGGTATAATGTTATTCAGGAGGAGCCAATGTGGTAGATATAGTGTCCTTATTCAGGGAATTTGGCAACAACAGGGTGGGGGGGTTCATCACCCAATTTTGGACCTCGATGGCTCTCTGCCCCCCAGTGCCAGGGGAATGTGAAATAATGTAGGACACACGGTAACAGTTCTTAACCTAGTTCCGTCTACAGACCTGTCTGGGAATCCAAGGAAAGCTATGGACACTTTTACAATAACAAAGTAAGCAACGAGGCTATAAGTGGATACACATCAGAACTTCTCTGTTCATTTTCCTGGAACCTACAGACTCCACGTTTGAACCCGGAATTAGGGAAAACACTTTCCACCTACTCCTTGAAAACTCCTTGTACCCTTCCTCCTAGTAGGGTGGGAAATCCCAAAAGCCAGGGAATGAACTCAGCAGCTGTCGACGCGCCCCGGATTAGCTCTCACTTCTCTTTCTCTGCTTTCCTGAAACAAGTACCAGGGAGGAATTTCAGTGTGGAATCCGGGGAGCCATGCTTCAAATCAGCTTTTTGTAAAAATCAATTCCTTGGTGTATGATTGAGTTTCTTTGGTGAACTAGAAACACCCAGAAGGTCAAAAGTTTGCTTTTTCTGTCACTGACTCGAGTCTGGCACACTCTGCAAAGCTCCCCTTTGATCTCCTTACCTGCACCCAGGGTATCAGTTTTCTAAAGCTGTCTCTAGCCCAGGAGCTGCCTGCCTGAACCCTGGGCAGGACTCGCTTTCCACTGTTGGACCGTGTAAGTCAGAGACATGCTCTTCTTAGAGAACCAGTGTCGGTGTGGGCCAAAGACACATTCAGGGCGCTATTGTTCCCTCTACTTGAGTCCGGGAGCTCTGAACCACATTTAGGAGAACAGCAGCTGCTGGTGCTTTTTGGCTGCTTGGCCACTGAGGGAGAAGTGCGCCCTTCTCCGTCAGCTGGCGTGGCGCTCGCTCACTGAAGGGGCTCTGGCTGCTCTTGGAAAAGGAGGACATCGGGAAGAGAAGAACATACACAAGCCAGGGACGCCGAGTGGCCAATCTGCCAAACCTGCCTGCGGATACACACCAAACCCCATCAGAGAGCCTCATTTTGGTTTCTAAATGCTATGAGCTTGAAGGGCTCTGGCAGGGCTGGAGGAGATCATTTTCTAAACTCTTGAATTTTCTACATTCTCACTCCAATGGCATCTGTGTAGACAATGGGATAAATGGCTTTGGAAGCCAACTTTCAAGTTTCAAGGGCGTAATTGTCTACATCTGTGTAAATTGCAGCCTGTAGTGGTGCCAGAGAAGAAATGTTAGAGAATGTAGGGTGAGGTAGCACCTGGAGTCAAGCCTGCTACCCGGCCATTCGCGCTCGCTTCTCTCTTCCTTTTCATTTTATCCTCACCACTTTGGCACATACTCTTGTCCTCTCCTCTTGCTCACAAACACAACTCCATCAACCCCGTACGGACAACAAACTGATGGCTGCCAGAGGGGAGAGGGGTGTGGGGTTGGGGGAAAAAGGGTGAAGAGCAGTGGGAGATACAGGCCTCCAGTTTTGGAATGAACAAGTTATGGGAATAAAAGGCAGAGCCTAAGGGATATAGACAATGACACAGTAATAGTGATATAATGGGACAGATGGAGTGACACTCACCGTGAATACAGCCGAATATATAAACTTGTCAAATCACTATGTTGTACACCTGAAACTGATGTAACATTGTGTGTCAACCACATGCAAATGAAATGAAATGAAATGAAATGAAATAAACAGGTGAATAAAATTCCAATAGAATGAATTCTATTTATTTATTTGAATAAAATTAAAAATGGAGATAAGAAAATTTATAAATGGTGTATGCTTTTTCAGCAAGGGCTCTGTATCTGGCTGAAAGCAAAGCAGTTCACACACAGGCACACACCCACAGCTAGGACACAGAACACTGAATAAATGTATGACAGAATAGATCCTATTCATGCTTTATTCTTTTGATGTCCAGCTTCAGGACTTGGCATCATTGAAATTGTGTCAAGAAATCCTGAGAGACACTAAACAGGATTAGAAAGTTAGGTAGTGCTTGACTAGGAATGGGTGGGAAGCTGGAGAAAAATGGGGGAAAGGGAATCATTATGTATGACAGGATTACAGAGATAATCTCCTTCTGGGCGAGGCTTAGGGAAAGGTCTGGCAGAGAGTAAAGAATGTCTTAGATATACAAGAGAAGTCAGTCTCAGCATGAACATTTTTTGCCCCCTCCCCAACACAGGAAGTTTTTAAAAAGAGGTCCCAGAGGAGTGTGGTATAAATAGGTTAGCTAGTAGGTGTGGGATTGCTTATTGCATTGGTTTTTAAAGAGAGACTAGGTTCAGGGCACCTGGGTGGCTCAGTGGGTTAAGCCTCTGCCTTTGGCTCGGGTTGTGGTCTCAGGGTCCTGGGTTCGAGCACCTGGGTGGCTCAGTGGGTTAAGCCTCTGCCTTTGGCTCGGGTTGTGGTCTCAGGGTCCTGGGTTCGAGCCCTGCATCGGGCTCTCTGCTTGGTGAGGAGCCTGCTTCCTCCTCTCTCTCTCTGCCTGCCTCCCTGCCTACCTGTGATCTCTCTCTCTCTCTGTCAAATAAATAAAATCAAATAAAAAAGAGAGAGAGAGAGAGAGAGACTAGCCTCAGTTTAACAAATGAGAGAGCATGGTTTGCTAATTTCCCCCTTACCAGGGACTTTGAAGTAAGAAGTAGTGGATTATGATTCATTCAACAAATTTTTTACCAAGGACTTGCTATCTAAGGTGCTTTACCACATGCTGGGTCCACAGTGAAAAATAATAAGGCATCACTTCTGGGGGGTGGGGTGGGGTGGGGTATGTGAAATGGGCAGAGAGGGTCAAAAGGCACAGACTTCCAGTTACAAAATAAATAAGTTCTGGGAATGTAATATACAGCACAGGTGACTATAGTTAATACTGTGTTGTATGTTTGAAAGTTGCTAAGAGAGTAGATCTTAAAAGTTCTCATAAGGAAAAAATTGTAACAATGTGTGGTGATGGATGTTACCTAGATTTACCATGGTGATCATTTCATAATCTATACAAATGCCCAAATCATTATGTTGAGCAGCTGAAATTAATGTAATGTTTTACGTCAATTATATCTCAATAAAAAAATTTGATAAAAATAAATTTGAAATTAACAACCACCACCACAACAAAATCGGTCTCCTCCTCTGTGCGATTTGAGGTCTAGAGGACATCAGAGAGCACCTGAGTAGAAGAAAGGCTTGAGGCTCCCAATACCTCTGGCCATGAATTTTTAACATGGCAAAAGGAATCAAGACGCTCCTTTTTCTGGACTGGGGTTGGTTTTAGAATTCGAATTCGTGTGCTGAGCTAAAAGAAAGAAGATGGTAGGGGAGTATGGAGAGAGAACTGAGTGGAGACGGAGCAGGTCTGGGCTCTGTTCACCAGTCACAAAAACAGGTTCCCCTTAACCTCGCCATGTATTCCTTTTAAAAGCTCAATTCGTCCATTTCTAAAAAGTCAGCCTTTAAGGAGT